TACTTCTCTATCTTAATGTGTTGATCGTCCTTCTCTTTCGACTTCATGAAGAAAGCCGAGCGCGTCCGCGAGCGCACAGATCCCGTCGCCAAGGTCCATTGCCGTGCCTCCGTTGTTGTGGTAAGTACTACCTCTAGCCAAACTTTCGGACATTTGAACGGTTCCTGTCGCCATTCCTTGACTTACATTGGGTCGTATACCACAGTCTCGCCGCGCTGTTATTTAGCAGAATCAACTGCTCTCATGGTCAAAGAAAAATTGAGGGTTTGAGCCCTCGGTTGTAGGAGACTTGATTCGTCACTTCAGCTGCTACTTAAAATAGTGTTGTACACTCCCCCAGCAGAACCGGCTGATTGATATACAGATACCGTATCAACATATGCTTCACATTTCGTCTGGTATTGCTCAATGGTTTCTAGTAAATGTTTCTGAGGCAAGAACAACGACCCCGGTAGGTGGAGATGTTATTGGCGCTCTTGAAAGGCTGCAACTTGGAACAAATGTGATTGAGAAGGCGATTTGTGAAGGTAACTCGATATTTAGAAAGCTTGTATTCCTTCTCCTTATCAAAAGGCATAGTTATTATTACAGCGGAATCGTTCTCTTATTTCAACGGAATCGTTCGCATTTCATCTGACATGCGCATCACTGGTGGCCGACGTGACAACCAGGAAGTTGACGTGAGGCTGAAGTCGACGCCGGCAAGAGAGGAACAGGCCGAGGTAATGCAGATGGTGGTGAAGTCGGCGAAGGCGACATCGGCAGGGCAGCAGCCGACAAGGGAGCAGACAGCAGCGAAGCCGACCATGGAGCAATCGGCGACCGGGCAGTCGGCCGGGGAGCCGACCACAGGGGAGAAGTCGGCAGGGATGCCGACTGAGGTGCAGCAGGACGCGGAGGACAGCGACACCGGTGACGAAGGAGGGGACGCCGAGGAGTCCACCAACAGCGACGTGGTGGAGGTCCTGTCTGGACCACGGCAGTCAAGCCGAATTCGGAGGCCGCCCGACTTCTACGTACCAACTGCCTTCACCACGGCATACGACGAGGTCGACGATGACCTGTTGTATGACGACGCCGAGGAGGACGAAGAGCTGCCAGAGCTCGACCCCGACATGCACGCCGACCCCGAGCACCATTGGGACATATCGATGATGACGGTGAAGGAGGCGTTGGCGAGCTGGAAGGGCAAGGCAGTGAAGGCCGCCATGGAGGAGGAGATCCGCAGCCTCATCGGCATGGGGACGTGGGAGCTGGTCGAACGCCCGCCGGGAGTAAACATCATGAAGAACCGGTAAGATTTGACGACGAAGTACCACATCGACGACACCGTCGAGGGAGAGAAGGCAAGGCTGGCCGTTACGGGCTTCACGCATGTGTATGGCGCCGACTACGACGAGACGTATGCGCCGGTGAGCAGCTACGTCACGCTGAGGATCTTCCTCAGCATCGTCGCCGTCCTCAACCTCAACCTGATGCAGCTCGACATGAAGAACGCCTTCCTGCAGAGCAAGCTCGACCATGTGCTGTACATGTACCAGCCGGACTACTTCAACGACGGGACCGACCGGGTGTGCAAGCTGCTGAAGAGCCTCTACGGGCTGAAGCAGTCGCCGCTGTTGTGGTACAAGGCTTTCAATGACGTGCTGGTCGGTGCCGGCTGGAAGAAGAGGTTGACACGGCGCTCTACTTCGAGGTCGGCGACGACAAGGTGGCCTGCTGGGTGCTGGTCTATGTTGACGACCTGCTCGCCGCCAGCAGCAGTACCGCGATGCTGAGGGAGCTGAAGGAGCTGCTGGAATCCACCTTCGAGCTGCTTGAGATCTCACCTGCAGCAAGCTGGGGAGCGGCCTCACGGTGAGGAGCGACCAGCACTGGCGCGAGGTCGACCGCTGCCTCGCCTACCTCGCCGACACCCGCGACACCGCCCTGGAGTTCGGCGGTGGACCAGAGTCGCTGGAGCTGGTCGGCTACGTGGACGCCGACGACGCCGGCAACAAGCATAATCGGACGAGCACGGGAGGCTATGTGTTTGTCTACAGAGGGGCCGCAGTCTCCTGGTCGAGCCAGCGCATCAAGTGCGTGCCGCTGTCGTCTACCGAGTCGGAGTACGTTGCGGCCACCAAAGCTGGCAAGGAGGGTCTCCTCGCAGAGTTCCGGCAGCTGGATGCTGGGAAGCCGACCGTCCTTCGGGTGGACAACAAGTCGGCCATCACTATCGCCGAGGAAATGGGGTTGATGGGCAACCTCAAGCACATGGAGCGGCGACAGGCCTGGCTGCAATACATGCTGAAGCGCGGGAAGTTTTCTCTAAAGTACATCCCGACCGCTGAGCAGCCGGCCGACTTCCTGACGAAGGCGCTGCACTATCCGGCCTTCAACCGGTGCTCCGTCGCAATCGGCCAAGTGCGACTGGTCGATGTGGGCGACGGTGACGACGACGTGCAGCAGTAGGTGCCATGCCCTCTTGCATGGCTGGTGCGGTGACCGGCGTGCTGTGTGTTGGGTGCACGCCGACGGGCTATTCTCCGAGAAGTACTTTCGTGTGGGCTGGGGGCCCAAGCATGAACGCGGCAGGGGAGTGTCAACGGGAGTTGGGTGTGGCCCCGTCCTCGCTTGGGCGGAGCCGATCTCGTGGTCGGATGTGCGGAGGAGTGCAGCCGATCTCCAGCAGTGGGCGAGCTGGTCGACGAGGAAGTCGACCTGCGCGGGGGTCACTGCACTGGTGCCGACTTCGGGTGGTCGACCTGGCGAGGTCAACATCGGAGGCGTCGACTTGGTGACACCGACCTGGGGGAAGCTGACTTGGGTGGTTGGCTGACAGGTGTGTTGGCCGACCAGGAGTGTTGGACCTGGTCAACTGAGGGTGACGTCGACCTGGTGTGGTCGACTGGAGGTGGTCGTCGACTTGGAAGGGCGACGGACACCTGAAGGAGCAGCTGGTCGACGTGGTTGCCTGGTCGACCAGGTTATCTGGGTGACGAGGTTCTGTGGAGGAGTGCGACAGTCGCCCAGGTGGTTTTGGCGAGGCCGACCTCGGAAGTGGTATCCCGAGGTCGACGTGGCTGGTGGGCGCGGTCGTTGGCGCGGAGTCTGCTAGGCGACTGCGCCATGCTCGTGACAAGGCGTGGAGCACCGACCAGCTGCACGCACCTTATCAGCGGGTGCATCGCTGTCCTGCGGATGCAACTCCGTGCAGCCGACTTGCTGCAGTGTTGGCACACCGTGAACTTGCAACGTTGGAAAGCCGCGACTTTGCTCTGCTGAATCGAGGTCGAGCAAGTCGTGCTGGAACGCGGTCGACCGTGCTGTGCTGGAAGTCGTCCAGCAGCTTTGCTAGTTCTGATGTAGTCTTGCATGCCAATGTTGTTACTACCATTGTCTCAACTTTTGCCAGTGAAACTCTTGCAGTTTTGCCCTGTGAACACACAAGTGCCAGAGAATGACTAAGGAACGAACGCAGAGATCACTCCTACCCCGTGCCTAGCCCGTAGTCTAGCTCCCGTTGATAGAGTTATCTCCGCAGAATAATCCTGTCCCACCCCTTCCAACCAACCCTCCACGCCCCATTCCACGTTCTTGTCCCCTCCACCCTACCCCAAACCAGATTGGTGGAAGAAGGAGGACTACGAGGCGATAGAGGGCCTCAACCTGGTGGGCGTGCAGCAGCGGTTCAAACTGGGGGAGCTTGAGAACACATACCCGCCTCTTCTCCATCCCCCACTCATTCCTCTGCTCTCCCGTTTCACCACCCGCCTAACCCAACCAGACTGGTGAAAGGAGGACTGCAAGGCGGGCCTCAGCCTGGTGGGCATGCAGCAGCGGTTCAAAATGGGGGAGCTGGCAGCGCGTATCCCCTCTCCCCCATCCTCCTTTCGTTCCTCTGAGCCCTCCGTTTCACCACCCGCCTAACCCAACCAGACTGGTGGAAGAAGGAGGACTACGAGGAGATAGAGGGCCTGAACCTGGTGGGCGTACAGCGGTTAAAGCTGGCAGAGCTGGCAGATGTGACCCAAGGGTTCAAAACGCTGCTGAGGGAGGGCGGATATGGACAGGTGCGACCTGATGTGGAAGGGTATATGTAGGCAGGCATATGGGGCTGAAGATAAGGCAAGAGGTATGTTTGTGAGGGGAGGGGAGGGCGCATCTGAGGAGGTACACAGAAGGTATGGAGTACAGCCAGGTGCAAGCTGGGGGAGGTGGTAGATACAGACACAAAGGGTAGGGTGCGAAGCGACCCGGGGGTTCAAGTCACTGCTGGGGGATTGCGGATACGGACAGGTACGAACTGATCTGGACAGGACGGGTTAATGAGGCAGGGATATATATCTGTGAGGGGAGGGCGCATCTGGGGAGGTGTAACCAGGTCAAGCTCAGGGAGCTGGCAGATGCGACCCAGACGTTTAAAACGCTGCTGGGGGAGGGCGGATGCGGACAGGTGTGAACTGAGAACACTCAGAGATGGCATCTGAGAGTTTTTCTCCTTCAGAAAACGAGCGTTTCGGTAGGGGTGTATGCTCGGGCACACAAACCTCCTTCAGAAAACGAGATGGCTCGGGCATCCCACCAGCCCAACCCCCCTCCACAACCCACCACCCAAACCACCCTCCACAACGGGTGTACCACCGACAGTTGCCATCTGGCGAGAAGGTTGCGGTAAAGTGGCTTCTCGGCTCTCCTCAGCCGTCCATCTCTGCACCGTTCCCCACCCCCACCTCACCCCACCCCACCGCATCCCACCCCGCCCCATACCACCCCACCCCACCCAACGCCCAACAGATGTACCACGGGCAGTTGCCACCGGGTGAGAAGGTGGCGGTCAAGCGAGCCAAGCCAGGCGTGCAGGTAGGTTGAGAGTGGTGAGCTGAGTTGGGAGGGCAGGTGGGTTGAGAGGGCAGGTGGGTTGTGAGGGCAGGTGATTTGAGTTGCGAGTGCAAGTGAGCTTGGAGAGCACGCGCTCTGAGAGCGTAAGGGAGTGTCCATGCTTAAGTCAGCAATCTATGATGGTGTTGAGGATTTTGAAAGGGATTCTGCTGGCCTTGCCACGCTCCCTTGACACTCCCTTGCACCTTCCTCCTACCACAATCTCTTCCCTTAACAATCACTCCCTTAACCTCCCTCACGCAATCCCTCTGTCCGTCCCACACCACCAGCTAAACGGCAAGGAGTGCCGCAACGAGATAGAGCTGCTGCCGGTAGTGGTGCTGCTATGGGGCTTTTTCTGACCTTTCGTAACTCCCTTCAACCGTTCCAAACCACACTCTCTTGAACCCTCTCTGTTCTCCCAGGTGAACAGCAAGGAGTGCCGTAACAAGATAGAGCTGCAGTGCGGCACCGCAACCTTGTGCTTCTCAGGGCCATCTTTGTACCTTGCCGCACTCCTTTTAACCTCGATATACCGCACCACACTCCCTTTGAACCTCTATACACCGCTCTACACCTTCCTACACTCCCAGGTGAACGGCAAGGAGTTCCGCAACGAGATAGAGCTGCTGTCGGCAGTGCGGCACCGCAACCTGGTTCTGCTGAGGGGCTTCTGTGTGGAATTAGGGGAGCAGCGGCACACTTGAAGATATATTAAGAGGTGAGGGGAGGTGTTTAAAGGGGTGGAGAGTGGTGCTGAGAGGTGAGTGTTTTTGGTGTTTATGCAACCTGGTGCTGATGAGAGGATTCTGTATGGAGGCAGGGGAGCAGCTGCTGGTGTATGAGTTTATTGAGAAGGCCAATCTTGAAGACATTCTTAGAGGTGAGGAGAGGTGTAGAAAGGGGTGCAGAGTGGTGCTACAAGATGAGACTACATTCGGCCGTTGATGCGGCGTTGACTCAACCTCGACTGCTGCTCATGAGCTTCTGCGTGGAAGCAGGGGAGCAGCTGCTTGTGTATGAGTCCATTGAAAAGGGCACTCTCTTTTCATCCACACTTCATCCACTTTTCATCCACTCTTCCTCATCCTTTTCCTCAATCCCCCTACAGCACCCCACGCAAGTCAGACATGCACCTGACATGGCAGCAGCGGCTGGACTAGTGCAGTCAGGGGCTCTACCTGTATGAAGCTATTTTTTCCCCTTTCGCTCTCCTTTCATCCCCTCCTTCCCAACACCCCAGGCAAGTCAGACATGCACCTGACATGGCAGCAGCGGCAGGACTAGTGCAGTCAGAAGCTCTTCCTGTATGAAGCTATTTTTCCCCCTTTTGCTCTCCTGTCATCCCCTCCTTCCCAACACCCCAGGCAAGTCAGACATGCACCTGACAGGGCAGCAGCGGTTGGACATTGCTTGTGGGGCAGCCAGGGGGTTCGCTGAGCTGCACCATCAGATCAAGCCACCCATCATTCACAGAGACGTGAAGGTGGGAGTGGGGGAGGGATGATGGTGGTGGGATGATAGGGGGGTATTTATGTGGGACGTGCAATAGCATGTGCGACTGAGGGCCTACCTGCACCATCAGATCAAGCCACCCATCATTCACCGCGACGTGAAGGTGGGTGGGAGAGAATGTGTTGGTGTGTGCGGTTATGCATGCACATGTGAGCCATTGTGGGTATGTGTGCGTGCAAGTGAGCCTACCTGCACCATCAGATCAAGCCACCCATCATCCATAGAGACGTGAATGTGGGTGGGGGGCCGTGATAGTGTAGTGTGGGAAATTGTGCATGAGTGTGCGGGAGAACTATTGCACACGTGTGTATGTGCCTTTGAATGTACTGTGTGTGTGCAAGTGAGGCCACATGCACCATCAGATCAAGCCGCCCATCATTCACCGCGACGTGAAGGTGGGTGAAAGGGATGGCGTGGTTGGTGGTGGGGGTGTGCAAGTGAATGTATATGTGTGCATGTGTGCATGTGTGCATGTGTGCATGTGTGCATGTGTGCATGTGTGCATGTGTGCATGTGTGCATGTGTGCATGTATGCATGTGTGCATGTGTGCATGTGTGCATGTGTGCATGTGTGCATGTGTGCATGTGTGCATGTGTGCATGTGTGCATGTGTGCATGTGTGCATGTGTGCATGTGTGCATGTGTGCATGTGTGCATGCGTGCATGTGTGCATGTGTGCATGTGTGCATGTGTGCATGTATGCATGTGTGCATGTGTGCATGTGTGCATGTGTGCAAGTGTGCATGTGTGCAAGTGTGCAAGTGTGCAACTGTGCATGTGTGCATGTGTGCATGTGTGCATGTGTGCATGTGTGCAAGTATGCATGGGTGCAAGTGTGCATGTGTGCAAATGTGCATGTGTGCATGTGTGCAAGTGTGCATGTGTGCAAGTCTGCATGTGTGCATGTGTGCAAGTGTGCATGTGTCCATGTGTGCATGTGTGCAAGTGTGTATATGTGCATGTGTGCGTGTGTGCGTGTGTGCATGTGTGCATGTGTGCATGTGTGCATGTGTGCAAGTGCGTAGGGATGAGCACCGGGCGGGCCGGGCCCGGCCCGGGTCGGGCCCACCCAGGGCGGCGGAAAACACCGGGCCGGCCCGGCCCGGCCCGACCCGGGCCGTGTATAAGGGAACTCTCGGCCCGGGCCCGCCCTTAAGGCGGGCGGGCCGGGCCGGACCGGCCCGGGCTCTTCATGGCCTGACCCGGGCCGGGCCGGCCGGGCCTAATGTCATGTCTAGGACCGAGATGGCCCGACCCGGGCCGCACTTCGAGGCAGCCCGGCCCGGCCCGGCCCGTACATTGGCGGGCTAAAAGCGGGCGGCTGCGGCCCGGCGGGCCAGGCCAGCCCGGCCCGTCCCGGGCCCACGTCCAAATTCCGATGCCCGGCCCGGGGCATTTCCGGGCGGGCCCGACCCGGGCGGGCCCTGGCCCGCCTTCATGCTCATCCCTACAAGTGTGCATGTGTGCAAGTGTGCATGTGTGCATGTGTGCAAGTGTGTGTGTGTGTGTGTGTGTGTATGTGTATGTGTGTGTATGTGTGTGTGTGTGTGTGTATGTGTGTGTATGTGTGTGTGTGTGTGTGTATGTGTGTGAGGAATCGCATGTTCGCCTACCTGCATCATCTCATCAACCCGCCTATCATTCACCACGATGTGAGGTGGGTAGCGTGAGTGATGGTGCAAGTGATGTGGGGAAGATGGTGTTTTGAGAAATCTCAAAACTTGAAGGGATTCGCCTACCTGCAGCATCAGATCAAGCCACCCATCATCCCCCGCCACTGCAGACAGCAAACATCCTGATGAGTGAGGACCCTTGGGACCTCACATTCATGTATTGCCAACATCCTGATCACAGCGTCAGGGGAGACGAAGGTGGCTCACTTTGGGATCTCACTCTTATCATCTGCCCGCATCTCTTACCATCTCTCCCCACCCCACCTCACTCCACGCTCCAGACGGCTACTAGGTGGCTGACTTTGGGATCATACAGTGCCCCTGACCAACTCCCCACCTCCTCCCACGCCACCCCACCACAGACGGCCAACATCCTGATCACACAAGGGGGGGGGGGTGGGTGGCAAAGGTGGCTGACTTTGGGATCATATTTTCCCCAGTGCCCCTGCTCCCCTCCCACCAACTCCCCTACCTACCTCTTCCCACGCCACCCCACCACAGACGGCCAACATCCTGATCACAGCAAGGGGGGGGGGGGGGGGGAGGTGGCTGACTTTGGGTTCATACATTCCCCAATGCCCCTGCTCCCCTCCCACCAACTCCCCCTACCTACCTCTTCCCACGCACACCACCCATCACAGACAGCCAATATCCTGATCACAGCAGCAGGGGAGGCGAAGGTGGCAGACTTTGGGATCTCACTAGCCGCATCTGTCCAAATATCTCCCAATCTCCCCCTCTCTGCCCCACCTCACACCACCCTACCACAGACCGCCAACATCCTGATCACAGCAGTAGGGGAGGCGAAGGTGGCAGATTTTGGGATTGTACTAGCCCCACTGCCCCAATTCCCCCCGCTCACCCCCACCCCACCTCACCTCACCCCACCTCACCCCACCCCATCCCATCCCACCCCACCCCACCCCACCCCACTGCAGACGGCCAATATCCTGATCACAGCAGCAAGGGAGACGAAGGTGGCAGATTCTGGGATTGCAGAAGCCCCACGGCCCCAATCCTCCCCACTCACCCCACCCCACCCCACCCACCTCATCCCACCCAACCCCACCCCAACCCACCCCACTGCAGACGGCCAATATCCTGATCACAGCAGCGAGGGAGGCCAAGGTGGCTGATTTTGGGATCTCCAAAGCGATGATGGAGGGGGAGCAGCTGGACATGCAGGTCAAGGGCACCATGGTGCGTGGTGTGACTATAATGGGGTGCAGCCTTATGTGGCTATAACTATAAGTGCATGTGAGTACAGTCATTCAAGCACACATGCGTGGCTTTGGGATCTCCGAGGCGGTGACGGAGGGGGAGCAGATGGACACGCATGTCAAGGGCACCGTGGTCCGTGACTCTGTGACTGTACGAGGTGTGATAATAAGTGGGTGTGACTAGTATGTGACACATGTGAATTGTGAGTACGTGGTACGTGGTCGTTGTGACACATGTGAATTGTGAGTATATTCATCATCTGCTTGTATAGACATACGCAGGTGCGTGCAGCAATGTGATCTCAAAAGCGGTGGTGGTGTGACTACTATGGCGTGAATCTATTGTGACTGTAGACGCATGTGACACTAGTGAGTTGTGAGTAGCGGCGGTTGGGCATGCAGATTATCCAAGGCGGTGAGGGAGGGGGAGCAGCTGGACACGCAGGTCAAGGGCACCGTGGTACGTGACTCTAGTGACTTGTGAGTGTAGTAAATGCAAGTATTGACATGCGCAGGTGTGCCCAGCTTTGGGACCTCTTTGAGATCTCCAGCCTGATCACATACGTGAGTACTCCATGTCTGACCTCTCGAGAATCCCTTCAGATTTTCCTTTTGTGTTTTTTAATACATATAAATATAATCTCATTTATTAGGATTTTCACTTTTAAAATTTTCCACTTTTGTAGAATTCTCATTTGCATAATTCTAATTAAGACTTTTTTTCAGAAGTGATTCCCAGACCCCACATACTTCACATCTGATCTACTCAATCAGGTGAGCGATGTTTTAACGTCCTCCCTCTACCTTCCCTCCCTCCACTCTCTCCTCTCATCTGTCTCCCCCCCTCTCAGGGCTACCCAGACCCTGAATGCTACATGTCTGACTTGCTCACTGAGAGGAGCGACGTGACTTTTGAGTCGACTCAAAAGTCACCCTGAATACTACATGTCTGACTGACTTGCTCACCGAGAGGAGCGACCTGTTCAGCTTTGACATCGTGCATCAGCTCCTCCCCTCAAATGATGCATGGGACAAAAGATTCATCCACCCTCCATTCCCTCCCTTGCCCCCCTCCCCCCCTCCCTGGTCTACCTGGTCGCATTAAATGTGCGACAACCACAGCTGCCAACCACCCGGGGGGAGGGAGGCCACGGTTCACCTGACCGTCGAGGGCAAGGATCCGTCGGTGCCGAAGGAGCGCCAGTAAGATTCATGGCCGCTAGGAGCAACTACCCATTCTCCTGGCCGACTTCTGCAGTGCTCCTGTCACCATGACATCCTTTCCTGTCCCCCCCCCCCCCCCCCCCCCCCCCCCCGCGAGGAGTAATACACTCTAAAAAGCCGGGTGAGCTAGGAAAGTAGCTCTGATACCAAGTGTTATGAGTTGTACCAAACACAGTGTGCGGAAGACTTTATAAAAAGGATGAATTTCAGAATGACGAGACAATGAATAAAGCAGGCCTTTATAGGGCGAATACGTGCTGGGTGCAGACCTCGGGACGTGCATGGGTTGGATGTGTCGCGATTGGTGCAGAGCGACTCGGCAGTGGTTCGAGTCGAAGTGTAGGCCGAACCTGAAACTGACGCGAACAGTTCGGGCTGTCCTCGCTAGGAGCAGCCTCTACAGTAATGAATTCATATTCATTACAATGTACTACAAACGTAACACACTACACGTGCGGAAATGTTTGAAATTCCCGCCAAGTGCAGACCAGCACGTCACCCCCAGCTACCAGTCGCGCTTCGGTGAAGCGATTGATTATGATGTTTGTCAGCCGTACCGCGTTGAACCGGACACTATTCACCAATATGCATAAGAAAGCCCGATCTGCTCTGCACAACCTAGGGAATGTCCTCTGCACAAACAATCGGAGCAGCACCAGCAGCAGCAGCATCGTTCCCCTCCCATTTACGTCATTGCTTATCTAGCGGCGTCTAAAGCTTCTACGCTTTTCAGTGTGGAGCCAACCGAAATTTCGTTGCCGCGCTGTATAGTAACGTTGTAAGCCTTTTCCGCTCCCTTCCTCGGTCTCCTCCCGTTAATGCCGTCCCTAATTCCGTAATCTTGGCTTCATCCACCCTCATCCCCCCTGTCTCTTGCTCCGTTGCTCGGGGAATCGTTTGAGCCTACTCGGAAAATCGTTTTGCATCAACTCAAATTTCATTTTGAGTAAGCTCAAAACTCGCCTTTCCGCTATGTGCCGTCTTGCTCTTTATGATCATAGCTTTCATTGCGACCCCACCCCTGATCCCAGGCAGCTCCCATTCCTCCATGCAGCCTCACCTTCGTCTCCCTCTCTCACTCGGAACTTGTACATGTGTGTCAAACAGCATGCCATCCATTGGCTTTATGTTTGATAGGCATCGCTGGGGAATTTTTCGCGATGCCTGGGATTGGCATGTTGCAATCCACACTTGCAGCGTGTCACCTGCAGGTTGATTTCGACATCCCACGCGGCATCATTCCCAACCCCAGGTTTCCCTCCACAATCAAACTCGCCATTTCCCAAAGCGCGCAAGAACTGTACATAGCCAATTGCGTAAAAAGGGTTTGGTACTTTTTTTTTTCTGGGTCCAAAGTTTCCGGTTGTTGCAAAACATTTGTGAATGACTCGAAGTGTGACTAATCGCCATAGAGTGACTCGACATTTTCGCATAGCAGCCTACGAAACAGATTAAGTTATAAAATCGTTGAAACATAGTTTCTGTACGCAAAATCAAGTTTGGTAACAACGGATCACTTCGCGACCGAGGCGGCGATGAGCTCAGTGGTTACCGAATGGCTGTAACAGTTACACTTTTCTTTCGCTACGTTACATCAGCAACTGTGTTACCATAATACACTTCAATGTGTGTAACAATCTAATAGTTACATTCATTTGGCAGATACATATTAGATTGCCAGTATCTGGTTTACATGTTTATTGGTAATATATAAATCATGTCATCTAACAAAAATTTTGAATATTTAACATCTAACTCGACAAACAGAACACCCAACATTACATCACTATTGCGACCTAAACTAGTACGTGCACAACTCTGTACATCATCAAGAGTTAATGGCAATTAACACTCCTGGAAACGGGACTTTCCGGGTCAAAACTCACTCATACAAAATAGCAGACAAACATAGCGGCAACCGCCAGCAGTGCGGAAGTGCCCGTAAATACGCAACCTGCAAAAAGAACAAATAATTGCATAATCACAGCATCTCACCAAGGGATGAGAAGCCCATGAAGACTCTTGTCATGCTTTTCCTCTGTAGTTTAGGGACAGACAACGCAAGCAAAGTGAAGAGCCATTGTGTCGCGAGGGTGCATTAGGTAGTACAGAAAAGCAGAATAATACCGCGCAGAATTGGAGGTAATTACCACGGTCCATATGCGCCAAGCTCTGCAGACTCACGACGACTTTCAGAAGACTAATAATTCCCTGCAACGCATGTAGTAGAGAAAACATTTGAGTAAGATGCGCAAAACGGAACGCTTACGATATGCAGAAGGCGAGCACAAAAAAATCAAACAAATGAATATGCAGCAGCCACTATGGCTGCTACTATGACTGGCGACGGTGCTGGCGCTGGCGACAGATTGAAGGTCGCGGAAGTGGAAATGGCGAGCTGTTGGCGGGGAGAGCTGTTGGAAGATCCCTTTACCTCAGGGAAGCGAGAATCTTGGTGCTCTAGTGAGGTGGTGCTCAGCCACTTGGCTGCTGTGCTGGTGCACCAGCGAAGCTCCAACTTGCGAAGCTTGCAACGCGACAACAACTGTGATTCGTCACCTCGAAGTTTCACCCGCCGCCACCACTCAGATCGCCAGAGAAGGATGCACATGTGCTGCGGTGTCAAAAGCTTGAGCAAGGATTGGTTGCAATTAAAATCCCCGCGACAGCTATCAAGCGTCACCATACCACACCTCAGCTTCCCAAAATGTGGTCGTGTAGAGAACTGGCAGTAACAAGCATAATAGTCAAGATGTACAATTTGTGTGCTTACATACATATTTTACATTTAAGAAGGTGTCTCACAGACATGGCATATTGGAAGCCACGGAACATGGCATATTAGAAGCCACAGAATTGGCTAAGTGTTGGTAATTTTTCAGTTTATTTTAATTTTTATGATCACAATAGATTTAGGTGTCCTTTACCATAACACAACAAAAAAATAACAAAAAATACATTTAAGGGTGGCTTGTGGATCCAAATGCCTGCCTATTTGAATAACTTTTAAGGAGGATAACAACTTGGTTTGTGGTTAAAAATAATAATTTGGAATGGAATGTTTTCTGGGTGAAATTCACCAAAACCAAAATGATAATTTGAACCACAAACCAAGTTGGTTTTGGTGAATTTCACCCAGAAAACATTTCCGTTCAATTTATCATTATCTCCCCTAGACCTACTCTACTGTTCTGGAATGGAAATGTTTTCTGGGTGAAATTCACCAAAACCAACATATCAATCTATACCAATGAAGCTACTAGCAATTGACAACTCATTCTCTGGCTATCATGGACATGTGTTAATTTCAAGGATGTTAATTTGGGGTTTACAAATATGTACTGCGTCTATGACCTACTATGGTGGCAGTCTCCTTCCATATGTTTGGTTGTTTCACTAGTCTGCATGATATATCGACGACATTGCTTGTTTTTACGACAAACAAGCGTCACGTACTGCATAGTTGTGCGAATGAGCTCAAACCAGTTTCTATGGCAAGGTAATTCATTGAAATACCTGAATCTCTGTTGAAGAAATGGTGCTGAAAGAAACAACCAAACGACGAAACCGTGACATGTTGCGTAGTGTCCTATCCTTGCACAGTTTCAGGCCATCGAACGCACAAACAAGCGTCACGTGCTGCGTAGTTGTGCGAATGAGCTCAAACTAGTTCCTATGGCAAGGGAATTGAGTTAGCCACCTGAATCTCTGAAAAAATGGTGCTTAAAAAAAACAACCGAATGATGAAACGGTGACATGTTGCGTACTGGCCTATCCTTGCACAGTTTCAGGCCATGGAACGCACAAACAAGTGTCACGTGCTGCGTAGTTGTGCGAATGAGCTCAAACTAGTTCCTATGGAAATTTCACTGAGTAAACTACCTAATTTGTGAAGAAATGGTGCTGAACGAAACAACCGAATGACGAAACGGTGATATGTTGCGTACTAGCCTATCCTTGCACAGTTTCAGGCCATCGAACGCACAAACAAGCGTCACGAGCTGAATAGTTGTGCGAATGAGCTCAAACCAGTAACTATGGCAAATTCATTGAGTAACCTACATGAATTAGTGAAGAAATGGTGCTGCAAGAAACAACCAAACGACGAAACGGTGACATGTTGCGTACTGGCCTATCCTTGCACAGTTTCAGGCCATCGAACGCACAAACAAGCGTCACGTGCTGCATAGTTGTGCGAATGAGCTCAAACCAGTTTCTATGGCAACGGAATCGGGTTAACCACCTGAATCTAAGAAATGGTGCTAAAAGAAACAACCAAACGACGAAACGGTGACATGTTGCGTACTGGCCTATCCTTACACAGTTTCAGGCCATCGAACGCACAAACAAGCGTCACGTGTTGCGTAGTTGTGCGAATAAGCTAAAACCAGTTCCTATGGCAAGTTCATTGAGAAAAATACCTGAATTTGTGAAGAAATGGTGCTGAAAGAAATAACCAAACGACGAAAAAGTGACATGTTGCGTACTGGCCTATCGTTGCACAGTTTAAGGCCATCGAACGCACAAACAAGCGTCACGTGCTGCATAGTTGTGCGAATGAGCTCAAACCAGTTCCTATGGCAAGGGAATTGAGTTCAACACCTGGATCTGTGAAGAAATGGTGCTAAAAGAAACAACCAAACGATGAAACAGTGACATGTTGCGTACTTGCCTATCCTTGCAGAGTTTCAGGCTATTGAATTCACAAACAAGC